CTCTATCTCTCTCTCTCTCTCTCTCCTCCTCCCTCTCTCTCTCTATCTCTCTTTCATTTTCTCTCTTTTTCTCCCTCCTTTTTCTTTCTCTGACTCTTCTCCCTCCTGCTTCACCTATCAATTTTGTCTATCCGAATAGAAGCATGAATCATCGCTCTTGTAGTCTTTTCTTTTCCCGCTTTTTTTGTGTGTGTGCTTGGGACGAATCTTTATTCATTCATTGTGACGGGGAATCCAAGTGCATGCATAGTTCTTGACCGATACTACTACACTATCCACACTGACCAGATAAGATACACAAGAGACAGGTTTCACCTATATCGGCATTTTCCGTGTAAAAGCTGCTACTATGATGACAATGCCAGTGTGCTATGGCGGACGTGGTGATCATGGACATTATGATAATACTTAATACGTGTACATTATATAGTATATATACGCCGTCTCTCCTTTCTCTCTTCTGTGTATTCAACTCTTTCACTCAGGTTTTCCTTTACAACTTTATCTCACTCAGGTTTTCCTTTACTACTTTATCTTTTATTCGTCAGGACTAGTCTTTCTTCAATATCAACCTATGCTTGTATTAAATTATGTTTTTCTATTTCTGCGGGTGGTTGGCGGATCTAGTCCGATTTGTTCCTTCTTTCCTATCAAACATCTATCGTCCTTATCTCTCCTCCTTTTTTTGTGTTTGCTACTCTCTTATAACACTTCTAATCTTCGTCACTTATATGACCTAATTGTGTTGCAAGTTCCGTAACAACTCTTACTAAAAAAAAAACTTTTTTGTTTCTAATCACCCTCTCGATCTCAATCTATCTTCCGTCTTCACGATTACTTCAGCCCATTCCCTCGTCGTTCAACTTTCCTTTTGTTATTTGTTCTACAATTATTCTTCATGTTTCATGATATCATGTCTGACTGTTCTGCTATACGTAACATTCACTCATGTCCTCTCTACTTTCTCTAATAAGAATAAATAAGCGAACCGTAACTCCTTTCAAACTGCCTAAAAATAAATAAACTAACAGAACGTTTCATGACATGAACTGCATTAACAATAAAACTTACATCTAATTACAATCGAACTCCCAGGATAACCTCCCCTCGGCAAAGAGAAATGTGGTCATCTTAGACACATTATGTGGTCCCATTGTGCAGTGTCATTATAACATAGTGTTTTAGTAGGCCTAATTACATGTATATATTTATATACAATAAACAATAAGTCCGCCAATTTTTTTTCCACAAAACCGCAAAGGGGGTGGGGTGGTCTTAAGTGCAGGTTATAACTGCTTAACCATCATAAATTTCATTTTACGTTGATTAAGAAAAATTAATTAATAGTAATGAATAAAACTTCACACAGATCTTAAGTGTCAACGACTGTGTTCCAACTTCAGTGTTGAATTTGATTTACAATTCTTCCTTTCACCGTAAACATTATGTTTAAAGCATTTTGAAAATTTTAAAGTAGAATCTAAAGAAACAGAGCGACGTTCAATGCGTACCTGCCCATGCGCTCCCCTCGTTTAGTTCAAAGTTTCTTCGGAAATACCCAAAGTGATCGATGCAGATATTAAGATGTAGGTCAACTAGGATCTCCATTACTGACCAATAACAATAGGACTTTTTTGTGAAAGGCCTCATTCTTCACGCTCGCAGATGTAGTCTCGACAAGGAATTGTTTGCTTTCGATTTTTATGACGTCAAATAAACTTTAAGGTCATTGACATTTAACCGTGGTGTGAGTACATCTGGCGACTTCACGCAGATTGCATGCACATTACTCGGGCTTTCAGCTTTAAGTTCTTATTTCTCGGCCTTTGTGTGTGTGTGTGGGGGGGGGGGGGGGGGGTCCACTTCTTTGTTTATAATATTCTTTTATATGCTGTTTGAGTGAGATGAAAACTAATTATTTTTTGAAAATAAAGAAAAGGAAACAGTGTAAAGAGATTTGTTTTGGTGGTCGGTTATTTTAAACAACCTATCTTGGGACAAATAAAACATCTTTTCATGCCGTTATTTTTTTTTCAGGGTTGACTTCATTAACTCACTGTTCGTAACATACTTCTCTCTCCACACACACACACACGCGCGCGCGCGCGCACACACATTTATTATGGCATCTCATTCGTCGCATTAGCAATGCTCAGAGATATTGGGGAAAAAAAGAACAGCAACGGTGTTTCATGGTCGCCTCTTGTTTAAGGAGAAATCATTTAAAAACAAAAACAACAACTTTTAGTTAGGCATACTCTACAAGTAGATTTAGCCAATTGCACATCATGTTCCGACGCGGTAATACTTTCTCAAGTTTCCCCATGACTATGGAAACATCGAAGAGAGGTAGCCTAGGCCTACTGTGCCAATAATTATGATGCCTGCGCCGCAGAAGTTGACTTGGAAAATACGCGGTGCCCAAGGCCTACTCTTCACCTCGCCACAACACTCGAGTGGGGCGAATCAGAGTACAACTTCGAATTTTACGCAAGGCGAGAGCGTTCCCCGCAAGCACGTTCATTGAAGACACATTCAACAAGTGTTGGTGAAGTCATGCGACTTAGCCATTGGTCATGAACTCTCTTGCATATTCATGACTCCGCCCACATAGGTTCCCGCCATAAGGACCTGATTACTCAGTGCTACATAAAAAGTAGTTTACAAATTTTCTTAAAATTTGTTATATATACTATCAAGTTGGGTTTTTTATTAACTACTTCATTATCTTTATCAGTCAAACTACACATTTCAAATAAAACGGTGCCAGTATCAAAGAAATAGGTGATGTGTAAATCTGACCTTGGTTGTGAATACCGCAAATGATTATGCAGCGTAGTAATACAGCTGCGAGCAGGGCTCGCTAATCTATATCCAGCAGGGCGTGCGTGGAAATCAGCTCAGATCGGTCTCAGCTCTTCATAAGAACGGGAGTATGCCGGGTGTTTTAGATTTTAATTCAGACTGTGGAGTAAGTCGCGAAGTAGGAAAGATGGTAAGTTGAACATCTTTTCCGTTTTCAACAGGAATCAACACACTGGTGTTTTAGGTTATATCTTTTTGGTGTTCCGTTGATCTGTTACTTGCGCCTTCATTGACACTGTAGTCCGTGGGAGGTTCCTTCCTTCCCTCTTCCTTGCCAGAGCCTAGTTGCGGTTAAACACGGACGTTACACTAATTTTAACGAATGGGTGTTGTATTGTTGGAATCTGACTTATCTATATGTTCCGACTGGTACTTTGTGAATCAATTTAGGTTATTGTCACAAGTGTTATACTACTAGTCAAAACAATGATGCTTTTTAAGTTAGAACATACATATCTTGCCTCATATGGAGAAAGATGAGTATCGCCGGTATATGTTCTAGACGATGCCTGCACACGGCATCGCAAGTTAGCCATCCACTTTGATTACGATTACCATTCATCTCCGTCTCCCAACTCCTCAAGCTCTGCTAGATTTACAGGCTATGCCTACCTTTAGTTTTAGACCTAGAATCTAGATTCTAGATCTAGGCCTTAAATTTTAGGTTCCCATGAATATTAATTTCTCCACTCATGTCCAAAGGTCGGGGGATCCTTACCATACTGTTATAAGTTTGAGACATGAATTGTCCATAGCCATAGAAAATACACAGAGCACCAGAGTTCATAGAAATCTAGACTCTATGTTTGGCCTAGATCTAGATCTAGACTTTCTAGATCTAGATTTAGATCTAATATATCTAGATCTAGATCTAGAGATCATCTTGGTTGTTAGTGTTACGATATTTTACTTGTCTGTTGACGTTCACCTAGAGTCTAGATTTTCTAGATCTAAATCTAGAATCAATGCCTATTATTATGTTTCAGACTAAGGTTGTATTCTAAGTTTCCATATTGGATATAGATCTAGACTAGATCTAGATCTAGATTCGTCTAAATCTATAAGGATCTAGATCTAGAGATCGAATTGTTTGCCCCCCCCCCCCAAACCGCACGCGCACACACACACACACAAATGGATCTTATTGGTGTCGAGGGGGGCGTAAAACATCCAACTGCATTACATTCACTGTAAAGTTTTGTCTCTATGAGTCTATGTAACCACCACCACCCCCCCCCCCCCTTCAAAATGTTCCAGAAGCCTTCTCTGTAGTACTGTAGTTTGACATTGTAAGCTTATCTTTTTCTTTACATCTCTCTTTGCAGGCGCATTACTTGCGGTCGCCCCACCTGTCCTCGTCCTTTCTGGACTTCGACGCTAACGAATTTGAAGAAATGACAGAGAAACTCTTTGGAGAAAGCCTATTTGACAACTCAGAAAGTGAAGGGGAATTGTTGCCGGACGAGCCAACTGTGGATTTAGCAAAAATGATGGATTATCATGATGTTACACTGGATTTCTCTCCGTCTATGCTACTCTGTGAAGCGGATTGCAACAACTGTAAAGAAAAGATAGAAAAGGCCCCTCAGTTGAAGGATCCATTCATGGGGTCTACTGTGGACCGATCATTAAATGATGGAGGCAGCTCTGCTGGTGCTTCTATGTTGGGACAAATCATGTGCCCCCTGGAGGAACAGAACGCCCAGCAACAAACACCTCAGCCAGAGGTGTTCAGTGCCTGGAGTCACACCAGCAACACTGACGAGTACCATGTCTTCACAAAAAGCTCGTTCTCCGGACTTGATTACCCAGAAGATGATGAACCCGAAGGCTTGACCTTTCCAGATACGTCATCTACGTACTCAGACAGTGGCCTCCCAGGTATAAAATGGTTTTTATCTCAATTGTCCTTTGAATGTTTTCTATTTTGTTTTTGTGAAAGTTTGTCCTAGTTTTCTCTGCTGGAAGTACCTCAATAAATTTCTCTCTTGTCATTTAATTTTAGTTGTTTTTCTCTCTGCTCAATCTGCACCAGGGCTTTTTTCTCATGCTACCATCTTCTCCATGATAAGCTACGTATATAATAATCCTTACGCCTTAAGCCTTAATTTAATGGGTGGTTGGCGGGTGCTCTAGTGTGGTTTGCATCTTCTTTCCTATCAAACGTCTTTATCTCCCCTCCTTTTTAGTGTTTGTTACTCTCTTGTGACACCTCTAATCTCCGGCACTTATTTGACCTTATTTTATATTGTGTTGCAAGTGCTGTGAAACACTTATTGAAACTGTCTTAATTTTTTAATTTTTTTTTGGGGGTTAAAAAAATCAAATTTACTCTTATTATATCAGGCTGTGCAACAGTCGTACACTTTGAAAACTATTGCATTTACTTTTTCTATTTTGAAACCATTTCATAATTCAAAAAGTATTGGTTAAAAAAAGGACTGTTTTTAGCACAACCATTGCTATTTGGTTTGAAAATTCAAGTGTCACATGATATGTAATCCATCCTTGTAAAAGAATCTCTTATATTGTCAGTTGTGTTTATATATTGTCCCCTTTTTTTTTCTCAGGAGACGACAGTGATGTTGACATTGAGACAGTTACGGAGACTCCACGATCTTGTGGAGAGTACTCAAGCTCTGCTTCCCCCTCTACTACTCCATCGCCATCTTCGAGCCCTAAGAAAGACAATTTTCTGAAAATATCAAAACTTATATCGCAGTCCACGTCATCTAAATCACTGCTCAGAGTCAACTCATCACAGGGTGTCTCCAGTTCTGCCTCTCTCGCCGAAAACCTCATGGCGGGACGTTCAAACACTATATCTGGACAAAAGCGCAAGCTGCAGAAAGAAAAGAAGTCGTCAAAATCCCCTCAGCAACAATCTGCACCCACACACGTTCTTGCGAACAGTAACAGCGTCAACTTCCACGACTATGCCATGAGCCCCGGGTCAAATCTTTCTTTGACTGAAACTGGCAGACCAACTGTCATGGCCAAACGGACCCACAGCAGGAAACGTATGGCAAACAACATCGATATCTCCGACAAAGAGAAGCAGCACCATCACAACCAGCTGGAAAGGAATCGCAGACAGAAGCTAGCAGATTTATTTGCAGTCCTCAGAGTAGAACTTCCAAAGATCAGGCACCATGCTAAAGCCTCTAAAGTTATGGTTCTCAATGAGGGTACAAATTACATCAAAGAATTGAGAAGACTCGACTCTCAACAAACAGATGAGATAGAAAGTTTGGTACAAAAGCGGTTACATCTTGAAAAGCAGCTCAGACTTTTGGAGGCTCAACGATCATGAATGCATTAGAGACAATTCAGTTTGTGTTCCAGGTCTATGCATTTTATAAAAACATGTTTGTATAAAAGACCGCTTTTAGACTGATACTAGTTATTCGTGTGAAAGGACTAGTGCTGTGGAGTACTGAGTGACTTGAAAGTTTTTGCAGTGCAGAAAACTGACTGGTGCCAATGTGTTCAGTGAAATTCGTGGATGGCTTTTAGGGTTTAATCCTCCTGACAGTGCAATGAAAGTGCGGAAAAACAGTATTGACTATATGGAAAACTGTGTGCATGGAGCAAGTGTGTTTATCCGGAATGCTTGCTACTGGGTGCATGGTTGGTGTGCTTTAACTGATATATGAATGGAGGAAAGCCTGGCATATGTTTTAAGGGCATCTCCTCATCCTTGAAATCATGGGAGGATATTCACTTGGACATCTCGGATTATCACTACGATTCACCGTCCAGGGGCAAATGTTTGGTAATGTCATCTGCTTATGATTTTTTTTCACTCCCAGTTCTTGTATCATTTTATACTGCAACGTTCATTTGAATATCCTCCTATGTTTCAGTCTCTGCCTCTTACATACACATTATCATTTCTTATTTCATTTCAAAGGGTCCAAAATTGTATCACCAAAAGATGTCTCAGATGTTTCAACTCTCATATTATGGAATTCATTATCCTGTACATTTCTGGAAATTATTATTTGAACACTTTCACTTGTACTGCTGAAAACAATTTTGTGTTAAAGACTTGACAAGAGGCGGTCGAGCGGGGAATTAGTTTTGTCCTGTTGTGTGTACTTGTTGAGGTTTTTCCCCATGATTATACATGTCATGTAAATGTTAATACACATGTAAGCACTTTTGTACTAGCACAAATAGGAAAGGGTTAAAGATGTCCCTTGCAGGTAGTTGCATATTTATAAAGTGTGCGGTGGTTGCGCATTATTTTGAATAATCTTTTTGAGTTTCTGTCGTCCTCCCGTTTCCCCTGAGATCTCATCTCACCCTACCGATCCTGTTTCCATTGTCCCTGACAGATGTACATGTATATTTGTGTTTTTGTGGTGCCGTTAATCTTTTAAAAACAATGCAATGGTTTGATAGCTTGTTCCACCCTTTTGTGTTTTTTTTTTTGTTGTTTTTTTTTTGGGGGGGGTCCTACATGAATGGTTCTACTAGATGGTCCCTTGAAAGGAACCGAGGAAGTAAGACCCTTGCAGGCAACACGACATAGTTCTGGGGGCTTTTTTCTTTCTTTCTTTCCTTTTTTTAAAAATACCTTTCCTTTCATGGTGTTGTATCCTTTCCTTGCAGAGGTTTCTGGTTTTAACAAACGCTTCACAATGTGTTCTGGTTTTGAATCTGCCTTGCATTTGCCTTATTTCCGAGTGTAATTTGTACGTTTTCCCCAGTTTTGTACATGTGTGCGTTACTTTGGCTAGAAACACTTGATGTAGTATTGGTAATTAGAGGAGGGGGGGAAAAACTTCTGTATTAGAAGTTAATGTTACCGATGAATGTACTGTGGGCCTTTCTTTTTCCCCAAGGCACTTTGTCCTTCCCATAGTTTTTGATTTTGTGGAAGCGCTTGGGAATGAATACAATCCTAGTCCATTAGTCTTTGAAAGATGTAAAGGATGTGGTCCCAAGTGCTTGGCAGCATGAGGATGTAATGGGCTTGCTGCACCTGATATTCATCTTGACCAATTGCACAAGTTTTTAATTTTCTTTTGATGACCACAAGCAAAATGTTTTGTCATAGTTCTTGCTTTATTTTCCAGTAATGGCATTACACTCACACTGTCTACTTGGGCTTTTATACTAATTTGTCTTTTGCTCTGGTTTTAGGGTCCAGGTACTTTTTAAAGAAAAAAAAAGCTCATAGTATGCATTTAATTTTGTTTAACCCCCCCTCCCCCCCCTTTTATTTTGGCATTAGCATTGTGGACTAGTTCCCAAGACAGCAGGAACATAGCACATAGATGAACATTTGTTGTACATGTCATGTATTATTTGGAGTTTGATTTGGCCAAAGATTGTGGTTTTCTGTATTGTAACTGTGTGGTCTGCATCTGTTACGTTGCAAGTTTTTGTGTATACTGTGACATAGATTTCCCCCATCCCCATGAGCGCATAGATTTGTATCCTGTGCTAAGCTACCAGATATGAAATGAAGGTGGGCTTTTACTGGCGTTATGACGTTTTTTAGACTCGCCTATATTTTATTTGTTTGGTTGGCCATTTTTTAAAGTTAGATCACTTCATAACTTCCTTTTTATTTTTCACCATTGTCCAAACTTAATTTGCTTTCATGTACAATTACCTTGGGCAATTTATCCTTCCATTTTTTTTTTTTGTTCTTGGAAAGTAGCTTTTATAAATTCTATAAAATGTCTTAGTTTCTTTTGTAAACCTGAAAATGATAGTAGTAAGATATTTATCATTTTAAGAGCAGCATTTTCTTTTTTTATTCTTTCCGTTATATATTTTTGCCAAATAAAATATAAAATGCTTCAACCTGTTTTTGTGTTTTTTCTCTCTATAGAGGTACGTTCTCTTGGCTCTTGTAGCCTACCATTCTCCCTCTGGCTATCATTGATCTTGCTCCTTCTCCGCACTCTTTTACTTTTCAGTGGGTGGTTGGCGGGTGCTCTGGTGTGGTTTGCTTCTTCTTTCCTGTTAAACATCTATCGTCCTTATGTCCCCTTCTTCTTTTTTATCTTTGTTACTCTCTTGTAACACCTTCTGGCGCTCATATGACCTTATGCAGTTGCGAGCGCCGTTTAAATTAAACCCTCTACTAAAACTAAAACTTTTACTTTTCAGTGTTACAGTGTTGATTAGTGTTCGAATCTTTGTATCTGGCATGCCTGAAGTTGTGTCTTTTTTAGGCCTCTATGTGAGTCTTAGCGCTTGTTTCTTGTAATTAGAGGTGCCAGTATATTTTGGCATTTTTGAACGATCTACGATGGATATACGGTACACTACAGCTGGACATGTTTTAGAACCCAGTGCGATGCGAAGAGGTACTTTTGTATTAATTGTACCTGTCTCTACAAAATGTTATAGACCTGTCCTTGTGAGAGTGGATGATCTCTTGGAGGGTCGAACCTCGCGTTCGTTAATCTGTTTGAAATCGACTTACAAAAGATTGCTCAGTTGTTAAAAACCATATTTCTTGGAAACTTGATCTTAACCTAAAACATTTCTAATGAGTTTGTGGTTGGTTGTTGCTTTAGAATGATCTGCCACTGCTACTTCTTTTTAGGGTTATAATTGCTCTGTTCAGCTTGTTACCAAAAGCCACTGGGCTGACTCGAGGCCGAGAGCAATGCAAAAGCTGAGAAGAGTGAGGATCGCACTTCTGGGTGTGTAGGTAATGCTCATGTATGGGTCGAAATCTAAGGGATTAAAACACCCCACAATATATTTTGTTATGCGGTATGCAGTGCTGTAAGTTCCTTTTTTTGCTGCAATAATTTCTAAACTTAGTTGGAAGAGAAGTAGCCTACATTACACGTGTGCGTCAGTATTAGTATTATATTTTATTGTGCCGTTCGAGGCTTTCACTACTTTAAGACCGCTGCAACCTTAGGAGATAAAGATTTAGGGAAGCTGCATCATGAACTCTGCCAAAGCTGTGTTGTCCATTTTTAGCTGTTTTAGCTGGCCCCTTTCAACACAAATGTGGAACCTCAGTCAGTTGACAACACGTGTTACACTGTTAGTGAAGTAGGCTACCAGACTTTATACCTGAACGTTTGTTGTGTTGCCCAGTGAGCAGAAGCACATCGGCGTCTTCAGCTATTATTATAGTATTATTCTGTGGTGTAGTGGTTAACTGCTTCTCTGTCGTACACAGGTCGCGGGAGACCCGGGTTCGATTCCCAAGTGGGGCAAGGGAGAATGTGTTAATATTTGTCTTTCTGCTGGGATGTTGAACCCTGACACTGACAGATGGAGGCGTAAGAACACGATTGTTGAGTCGGCGTGCTTCTCTTTAAACAAACGACGATTGGCTCCAGAAAAGGCAACGAGTGCTGTGGTTGGAGTGTGGTAGTGCTAAGGCCCCATCTTGTCTTTCTGCTGTCTGTTCTGTCTATCTCTGTACCGGTATCTTACTTTTTGCTTTCACTAAAAATGACCGTTTTGTGTGAGTGAGATGGGTGGTTGGTGGGTGCTCGGGTTTGGTTTACTCCTTTCCTATCAAACATCTGTCGTCCTTATATTCTCCCCTCCTACTTGTTTGTGTTTGTTAGTTTTACTTTCTTGTAACAAGTTCACCTCAATCTCCGGCGTGGGTGGTTGGCGGGTGCTCTGGTGTGGTTTGCTCCTTCTTTCCTATCAAACATCTATCATCCTTGTCTCCCCTTCATCTTTTTTATGTTTGTTACTCTCTTGTGACAGCTCTAATCTTCTGGCGCTCATATGACCTTATGCAGTTGCGAGCGCCGTAAAACCTCTACTAAAAAACTAATCTTCGACACTTATAGTATAATGTATGACCTCATTGTGTTGCAAGTGCCGTATATAAAACTGTTACTAAAACTAACATATAATCAAGTCAGACTCTCAAGCGCTGACGTTTAAAAGACAACTACTACATGTAGAGTAAGTCAGTAAGTACACATAATTTAAATTAGTCTTTCTGTTGGACAGTTTTCTATGTTGCTCCGGCTGGCCTTGACTGGAAGCCCACCCCTACGTGAGTTAATCATGTAGGACTACATCAGCTTCCGGTAATATAGGCTATGTCAGGGATCATTTTGCCCAATCCCAGTTAGAGGTTGGTGGGTGCTCTGGTGTGTTTTCTCCTTTTCTATCATCGTTATAAATGTGTTGCAAGTTCCGTAAAACTCTTTATCAAAATAAAAAGGAGATCAAAAGTAGGCATATTAATAAGAGATGGAATGTTACTTAATGTAAGTTATTACAACAAAGGTTGGGAGGTTGATCTATGATAATTGCTGCACTTAACGGAAAGTAGGTCAATAGTAATAGCAAGTACGGTACATGATTTGTGCATGTAGATTCTAAACCATAATGACTGATAATGCCTCTGGAAGTGAAAGGCAGTGGCAAAAGCAGGACAACCAACCAACAACCAAGTGGTCCTGTTCTTTGATGATGATGCGACCCTGAGGAAGAGGTGTTGAAAATAAGTCATCGTCCATTGATGAACGCACACATAGGACCAATAGAAATAATCAATGAAACATGTCATGTAATAAATGAATCTGTACGCCCCCCCCCCCCCACTCTCTCTCTCTCTCTCTCTCTCTCTCTCTCTCTCTATCTATCTATATATATATATCTATCTATCTATCTATCTATCTATCTATCTATCTATCTATCTATCTATCTACATGTATCTATTTATCTATCTCCCCTTTCTTCCCACCCTTCCCTCCTACTTTTCCTTGAATCGACCAAATTATAACAATAATAATATACCACACGAATAAACAAACACATCTACATTAGGCTTATACGAATACGAGTGCAATAATATCATTTCAAAGGTCATAGATTAGAATAGGCAATATTTTGACGTCTACGAGAGCACCACTCCCGGCGTCATAGATCTAGTTATTCATTTTAAAGTTGAACTTTTTATATAATAATATATATATTTTTTTTTTTGTTTAATTAGCGATGCATCTCCTTCTGACTTGTTCATACGCGCCTCGCACTGGAGGGCTTATGACGTCATCTCATTGATGATAAAATTTCTGAAAGAGATCCCAAGGGGCCTAGACTTATCACGCCATTATCATCATTCGTTGTCAGGTAGTCACAAGTCACGACAGAATAGGAATTGTTTGTTTGCCACATGTTACAACAAGAACAGAAGCAATACAATGATGCACGGCGCATTACATCATGTACGGTACACAACAAATAGCGGTCTTTGTTTAACTTGATGAGAAATTTCATAACTGAGAGTAAAGTTGTTCATTCAGACGCTTTCAAATCGTGTGATGTAAATCAGAGATAAACGGGGCATTTTGAGTGGGCAAGAGCAACTTGAAGAGGCACACGTTATTGTGTAACTCTCAAAGCGTTAAAATAGGTGTTGATAACTGGAGGTGTCATGTCATCTGTCTCAAAGGAGGTTGTCGTGCATTCGTGCAATGGTCCGCATGCTTAAGGTCGCTTGCTGCTGCCATACCGTTAACTTACAATTGTAAAGTTCTATCTGACATCTTTGGCCGTTTTGAGTTACCAAGACCATGAAGTTAGGATCGAAATGTTCGATCTGCTCTATATCAAAATCGAAAGATTAGTCGGAGTCGTTATGAAGGTATTCAAAGAACTGCCTTTGAAAAAGCTTGACCTGTTGTGAAAATGAAACTCAGAATCTTTGATGAAGTCAAATTTCTCAAAACTAGGTACTGAGCACAGAGCAGATAGAACTTTGTAATTCTGAGGTAGCCGTACTCTCCATCATACTTAGACTTAGGCCAGACCATGCCTTGGTGTTATCGTTCCTCATATTCATAGTCATAGTTCGCTGTCCACACTACTTGACGGGCGTCCGTGGCGTTTGGCGCTTCGTTGTCGCTCGCACGCAGGTGAAAAATGGTGAAATGGTAAGGATTTTACGCCCCTATCGATACCCTTATCGACACTATAAGAGGCGGGCTTGCTCGCACGCAGGAAACTTGAGTTCCATTCCTGAAGGGAATGGGGAGAACATGTTTAATAATCGAGTATCTCGGCGTTTTTTCTGCTGGAATCTTGTACATGTATCCCTCTCAGTTCGGGCTGGCAGGGTCGGTACTCCGCCCTCTAAATTAATCTAAACTGTCTATGAGGACATAATGTGATTTTTAAAAACACCATTATTTTTTTTTTAAATTAAAAACCCAAAAACTTTAACCCTTTACCCCGCATCTTGCCTTCGAGTACTTCCTTCATAATAGTCTAGTGCTGTTCAGACAAACAAAGGTGATGATGTAGGACAAAAGCGTATGAATCCCTTCAGTTTTATAGAAGAAAAGAAGTGTAAGAAAGCAGACTTCTGGACCACAGAACGATATCAAGCTCAACATATTGCACCCATCTGCGCCGCACGTGTGTTTCGTAAGCCCTTTTTAGGCAAAGTCCTTGACAGACTTCTCTCCCACTGCCACCCCCAAAAACTTTCTTTTCTGTTTTATTTACTTATATCGTTGGAAAGAAAGTTCACCCGAGCCCACAGCCGAGACCGACTTCCGTGCCTTTCGGCACTTGCGTCATCGCTGTATTTCGTGGTGAAACAAAGAATGTGTTCAACTCAACGCCAGGCGAAAAGGCAGCTGATCTAGATCTAGATCTAGTAGGAGAATAATATGTTAAGAACTGTGCAGAGAAATGAAAGCATCATCATACGCTGGTCTTTCTCTCATTTCTCACTTGATGGACAGATTCATTAAGTATAAATAATGGTATGGATGGATACATGTGCACATCAATCGTATTCTTTCTTATTCATTTTTCTGACTTTTTTTAGTAGCTCGTACTGAATTTTTTTC